TTTTTGTTAAAGATTATGTTTTTTTCATTTGACTTTGATATTGTAACCTGTATTTTAACTTAAGGTTATGTTCTTTATTTTTTCTGCAATGCTGTAAAATTGTTTTCTAGGGTGAGAGTAAGTTACTGTGGTTTCTGTGCAACCTTAATTTATTGGATTTTAAAGTTAGAGACATCATGGATGGCCTGAAGGTAAAGGGAAGAGGAAAGATGTGGTATACAGGATATACTGTATGTTTTCTATCCCTTTATGTAATTTTTAATTATTAACTTTAAACAATTTTCATGCATACAGGTATATATATAGTCTTAACAACAGAATGTTGATCAAGAACGTCACTAAATTCCTTTTGCCCTACTACCTATTGTTCTGGCTCATTCACCTATGGTAACATGCACTTTCTTGCAAGAAGGATTTCTGTAAAATTTATAATTATCTGAAGATAGACAGTGATCTTTTCAACTAATGGATTAGGTGATACCTTAAAGTTATAACTTTCTTATGTTTTGACAGAAATGATCAATTTTAAAACATAGCATTATATACACAAAATAATAAAATAATACACAAAATCTTGGATTAATTGGGAATGTAAAGCAAATAAAATTAAATGTATTGTTTTGTTTTCTATTTTTCACAATTTATTATTATCTTGCATGATACGATTCAGTGGCTACATCCTTCAGTGATTTTATTCTCATTTGGAATTTGTTCAGTGTGTTTGTATTACATACTTCTAGTTTGCCATTATCTGACTCTCACACTTTATTTGCTAAATATATTTTACAATATCACTTATCACTTCTATTCATTTTACATTGAAAGTTCATAAAGTTACTACTGACCCATTAGGGGATGCTTTCATTTTAACATAACTATGTTAGTTAATAAACGAGCATTAGATAAATTAGAGTATTTTTTCTAACATACATTTACTGCCATTTCATATCATTAGTAATATCTATTGTTCACAGCAGCATGTTCCTGCAAAACTTGATAGAGATGGTAGGTGCATTTTTTTATACAAAACACTGTATCTATGCAGTCTTTGTTACAAAAAAATGTTTTAACAGACTTGCTGTTCATACGTCTACAATATAAAACAAAAAACAACTCTTAATTCATTTTCAGTTTATAACTTAACTAATTTCAATTGCAATATCATTCTCTACAGAAAAATATTTTGCAGTGTAGTGTGAGAAAAAACTTTCAGTTAGTTTGACAACCAATAATAATTTAGTGATGTATGGCTTGTTGATGTAACAGCACTATATGATATACAAATTGCATTTCACAAAGCACAACACAAATACATTGTACATTATGACTGTTGGGAAATTATTCTGTACATCTACCCGTAAAGTATAATGCATTAGAAAATTAACAATATGCTAGATTTCAAATAATAAGTATTGTAATTTTTTATAAAACTTAAAAATATCACAAAATATACATACAAAAAAAAATGTATACTAGAATATTTCATAAACTTCTGATCACTATATTCAGTTTTGCATTCTTAATGACTTCCCCACTCCAGTGCTTTCATGAATTCCTTTTCTGTGAACTGGAGAGCTTTTGCTGCTTCAAGATGCATCTGGAAATACAAAAATATATTACAAAATGTAAACTGACCTGTATCAGAAGTTGCCTAGGAGGCTGTATTGGTTGTTCGAAACAAAAGAAAAATACATAGACCCTCAAAAAAAGAACCAATTAAGACAATATTGATGTATAAAGACCCTAAAAAACAACAAATTACACGAATTTTGATGGTTTTTGGTCTTATTTATTTCCAAGAAATACAGTTAATGTTTAGTTGACAATTTTGCATCTTTATTCAACTAATTTTTGACGTCTTACTTCCAGCGAAGTTTTGTTATATTAGAAAATATAAACACAAACCATGCTAATGTTACATAGTATGTTAAGGAAACAAACAGTCAATAACCTGGAAAACTTTTAAACTGAGCAGCAATCTTGGCCAATCATGTTCAATGTTTTCATTCTAACCAGCTTGGCCTGCCCATAAAATACAGTAATGTACATCCTTTTGTAACACTAGACTTACATCAGAACTCTCACACATACTACTATACGTAATATGTACACAATGCCTGAGCATTGCACATGTACACACATATACACATCACTGATATATACTGTTGTTGATACTCATAGTTTGTATTGACCTGGAAAGAGGCAAAGCTAGCTTTATTTTATTTATTGTTATTCTGTTTTGTACTGATCAAAATTTTCATAAAATTATGTAGTTATCATTATTATGTTCTGTTTAATTCTTAGATTTTCCAACTTTTCTCACGGTAGTTAGGTTTCTCGTGTTTCCTAGACTCGACTGGTCATGTCTGTCTAACATTAGCCTTAGGCCTATACCTGCAAAATCGAAAGGGAGGTCAGTGTTTCAACTGTAATGATTAACGATGTAAATTCTGAGTTTGATTTTGTAAATTTGATCATTTAAATTCCTACCAAAGATTTATCTCTAAGAAGTTAAGAAAGCTATGTTAGTTTTATTGTTGTAAGCATCAATACTAGAAATTAATCTTACTAAATATTCATGTTATTGCCATTCCTTTCATTGCAATTTCCCACCCACCCACATATATGCATACAAACATCCCACAATGTGTTGCAATAGTTTTGTTTTGAGTTTACTTACTGATTAAGTATATAAATATATATATATTTTCACATTTAAATACTAAACGTTTTTTACTGTTAAAACTTGTGTACGTGAGAATGATTGCACCAGTGATCGAAATGTTGTGCCTGTTTTAAGAATAAATCTTACTTACTGTAAAACCTGTAACTTGTAATAATATAAAAAAAAATGTGGTAATGTAACTAACTGAGCTCTATACACTGTACTGTGTTACCACACATAGCCTTTCACACTCAGTTGAACTCCATACAAAATTTATGTGCAGCTTGTTCACAATAGAAAGTTTAGTGACTAAAACAGCATTATTAGCCAATCACAAAAGCAAACTTTTCCTAATGTTTTCAACCCCTTTTTATGGATTGTACCAACATTCCTCTTGTACAAAGTACAATCTTTTTTAAACAAAAAAAAATGGACTAAAATATATTTTTGTGGGGTGTTCAAATTTTCGAGTTTGTAGTTAGGGAATTTTCTGATGATTTGATTGAGGATCAGAGTCTACATTATGTGTGGGTATGGAATAAGTGTACAGTAGACTATGCTGCTGTTTTGAGTAGGTGTCTGTTCCAGGGCGCTAGTCATTCGTTGGACAAGGGGGTTTAAGTTAGTCGTCTGAGATGATTTTTAATCACCTCAGATGACCAGACGGCCATTAAAATTGAGCCCTGCCTTCCCACATACGTAACTTCTTTTTTGTTACCAATAAATACAGGAAATATATGAAGTGCTATAATATGCAAGGTACATATGCAGTTATAGAAAGATAGGTAGAAGTTATATCACAAGTTCTCATATTATGGATTTAAGTTCAAGAAGATAATTTTGAACAAAATACTTTGAGGTATATTAATCACACTAACAAGTAGTTAATCAGGGAATTTGAATCATTAAAAATTTGTTCAATTTATTTAATTAAAAAAGGAGAAGTTTCAGATTGAGTTGTATAATGCCTGTTTTATATACAGGAAGTGGTACAACAACATTTATCAACACCCTTCACACACACAAAAAAGCAAATGTTCTTTTTTTACACTTGTTCTCTTAGCTTGGGCTAAAATCTTGTTTAGGTTACCTTTAACATTTTTTTCACATGATAATGATATTAGCAACATTTGAAGAATTATATTTTTCTTGATCTATGTCCTGTGATAACCTTTTTATTGAAATCAGAAATGGCACAATTCAATTTTTTTCTTTCTTGTTCAGATACGGGAATGTTCAAACTTTCATTATCTTGTTCTTTCTGTTCACATTTTAAAGTGTAGTTGATGATTAGATATGCAAAATTATCACAAATCATTTAAGAAAATAAGTCTTAAAATTAACTTGCTATACAAGCCAGTAAATTTCTTATTTGGTTATAGTAATTTTTATTTGCATTAATTAATACTAGTTCATCCAATTAGATGGTAGGCTCATAAATCCTCGTACATTATTCTGGTTTAACAACTATTTGTAGTTGTTTTACATATGGCTTTCAAGACTCATAAAGCTGTTTGCCAAAATACATATATTTTTAATAATAATAATCTTAGAAGTAAAAATATAATTGAAAAATATATACCTTTTGTTTTTTAAGGATATCAATAAGTTTCATCTGTTTATGGAAAGCTTCTAATAACTGTGCTTTCTGTTTTTTTAATATTTGATTATTTTCCTTCAAATCTTCTAAGTTTTTATCTCCTGTTTCAGTAATTTCCTGTGAAAGATAATAAAAAGTTGTGATGTATTTATTTAGATCACAAATGTTTGTGGAAGCACAAATACAAGTGAAATGATCTAAGAACCAGAAACAAGAAAACAGAAATGAAGATAACACTGGAGTCATTGATGTAGCTTGAAGCCTAAATTTCATCACACGATTTAATTCCATGTGCTTGTTTCATTTTGATATTTTCTGTTTTAATCTTGAACATGCTAAATTTTGTTTATAGCTGTTTTCCTATATGCAGGAAAGTAAAAGAGATAAAACTTGTGATCTCTCATAAGAAGTCCAAACCCTTAACTGGCAGTTTTATCTTTCTGTCTATAAAATAATGTAATAAGAGAAACTTTCACAGAACATTATTCAATATTTTTCAAAGCATGTATAAAGGTGTGTGTATGTATAAATGATGTAGCTTATTTTTTCAATAAAAAAAAATCAATTTTATTATTTTAATTCTGTACATTTTTGTTAATGACAACATTTATATAATGAAATTTGGTTGAATGGACAGCAACTACCTGTTGTAGAAACACAAGTACAGAGGGTGACATTTCAAAAGTCTTTCACCTTTCATCTTCAGGTCAGTGTGTGTGTGTATGGTGTTGCCAGTCTTTATAGTATTCTGGAGGATTGTGGTGATGGCATAACACGGCCTCCAGAATACTATAAACACCTACAACACTATATACACACTGACCTGAAGATGAACGATGGAAGACTTTCAAAACTTCATCCTCTATACTTGTGTTTCTACAACAGGCAGTTGCTGTCCATTCAACCAAATTTCATCATGAATACCCTGCTTAAACAATCTATCAAAGAAAATATTTATATGGGTAAACACAGCAAGATATCTCTACGTCAAATGAATGGTTTCCTCAGCTATTTCTTAAATTTATAAGCCACACCCACTAGGTACATATGTACATAGTGAAGCTCAGTTACTGATGGTTAGGAAACTTTCAGTGAATTGCTTTTGTAACCAGGTTTGTTTTCATGTAATTAATAAGTTTTGATTAAGCATGGGTGAACTTCTTCAACTATAAGTTTCAGTTCACATAACTATGAATATGCATGTTGATCAAACTTCAATTATAGTAAATGCAAGGTAATGCACATTGGATATCACAAATTCAATTATGAGTATGATTTTCATAGTGTTATGGAAACAAAATATATTGGTGTTCTGGTTGATCAGTCTCTTAAATTGTCCAAGCAGTAAGCTGTTGCTAGTGGCAGGGCAAATATGATTTTAGGTTGTATCTACAGAAATATTGAATACAATTTTAATGAGGTGATAATGTAATTGTATAGGTCACTGGTTAGGCCAAATTAGGAGTATTTTGTTCAGTCTTAGGCTCTTTACCTTAAGAAGGACATTTAATTGTTGGACATGTTCAAACGATGGTACTATGCTTACATCTGGGATTAAGAGGATAAGTTAAGATCTCTGAACTTGTTTTTTCTTGAAAAAAGAAGAGTTAGAGAGGATCTGATTGAGGTGTTTAAGATTGTTAAGGGAATTAATAGTGTTGATTAATCATACTTTTTTGTATTTAATGATGAGAACGGTAAGTCTAAGGGACACAAAAATAAAATTTGACTGTGTAACAGTTATCTTCAGCTAAGATAGCTTTATTTTTCTAACAGAGCGGTTGGCCTTGAAAATGAATTGCCTTTGGATAAGGTGGATCCAGTTAATTTAAGGGAGTTTAAAGGAAAGATAATAAATATTTGAATGATAAGAGCTGGCTCTGAGTTTTTAGTGCTTAGTTTCATTCAGTGAATAGGCTGGCCTAGATGGACTAAAAAGTCCCTAGTTAAAATACTTAACAAGCTTATGTTAATAATGCAAGGTGATAAACATTACATAAATCATTAATCTGAGTAAAATAAAGGTTGCATAAAATCATTAAATCAGGACTGTCTTTTACAAATTCTTAACTGTGTAAAAATCTACAGGTGAATAATATCTCAATCGCTTAAAATCACCTTTCACTTCCTGGCATCCCTTTTTTAAACAAGATCCATAACTGACAACAAAAATAAAATTCTTAAAAACAACATGTTGCTTATATTTACAAGTTTCTGAGTTAGATGAGAAAATATCCCAGCTCCTGGAATATTTAGTTTTTAATATACAATAAACAAACCATTTTGCTGAAAATAAGATTTATAAGTACTAACAGTTATAAAAAAAAAGAAGAAATGTAAAAGGATGTAACATGTGCTTTTTCTTTTATTTCTAGTTAATGAACTGTGTAAAAACTATCCTTTATATTTTGTTTTTTCATCAATACCACTGCCTATCACCTGTCTGCTAGGTATTGAATAATATCAATGTCTGTCTATTAAATAGGATAGCCAAATATGTTTGTTGAATAATTCTTATTAAGTTAACACTCTTGTCACAG